CCGGCAGCAGGAGCCCCCGACGAGGCATGGAGCCCGCCCCGAAGCACCAGCGGGGGCCCCCAGCCCTCACGGAGGCGGCCGCCGAGTTCCTCAGCCTCATCGGTGGGTGCCCCCCCTGCGCCGTGGGGGGAAACTGAGGCAGGGAGGTGCCCCGGGCGGGGGTGAGGGTCTCTCCGGGCGGGGGTGACGGGTCCCTCTGGCAGGGCCGGAGGAGCTGGAGCGCTGCCTGTTTGCCGAGACGCTGGAGATGGTGGCAGCTGGGGACCAGCCGAGGGACCGGGCGGGTGGCCAGTGGTGGGTGGCAGCCCGGTGGGCGCCCTACGAGCGGGCTGGCGAGCTGGTGCGGAGCTGCCTCCTGGTGCAAGCCGGCTCCTGCAGCAGGCAGGACGGCGTGCCCTGCTCCAGCGCCCTCAAAGGTGAGCTGGGGGCGGCTTGGGGTGTCCCCCTGCTCCCCAGGGCTGGAGGACCCCGCTCCCACCGGCCCCCAGGGCTGGGACGGGGCCCCCGCTGCAGTGCCAGCGGGGTGGGCTGAGCGTGGCCTTGCTCTGCCAGCCTATGTGACCCCGCAGCTGGAGACCCTGGAGCAGGAGGAGCAGGAGCGCCTGCAGGTGACTGGTGTGGCGGTGGCGTGTCCCCTTCCCCACGTCCTGACTCTCTGCCCTGCAGCGATGCCCACCTGGGGGCTGTGCCCTGTGCAAGGTCGCTGTGGGCAGCCTGGTGTCCCCTCCCTGGCATGGACACCAGTTCTGTCCCCCCAGCCTGGTCCCCTTCCCCTCCTCTGGGTGGCAGCTGGGGTGGGGAGTTTCCCACAATGCATCTGGCACGGTACCCTGGCTGAAAGGGGTGCTGGGGTGTGCCACTGCAGAGAGGGGGTGCCCTGGCTCTGCCCCCCCACCCTGTGCCCCCCACCCCTCCTTGCAGCTCAGAGCACACCCCACAGAGAGGAGGACCCACATGGTGAGCCACCAGCATGGGATGACTGTCACCACGACCCTCCAGGAGGGAGAGGTGAGGCTGAGGGGTGGGCTCTCTGCCTTCTGCCCCCCGACGGGGCACAACCTGGGCAGGGGGATGGGACATGGCAGGCCTGTCCCCCCAGGGGTGCCCACAGGCTCCGTGGGATGCCATCCCTGGGGACGGTGGGGCTGTGGCTGTCCCACGAGGTGGTCAGGTCTCTCCGCAGGCAGAGCTGCAGCGCCGGACCTTCTCCTACAGCCGGGCCGAGCTGCGGGGGCTGCTGTCAGAGGGTGCCAGCCTCCTGCTGCTGCGGGTGCTGGCGTGCCAGCGGGCAGTGCCCCCCAGCCTCATCTTCCCGGCCATCGACACCGAGGGCCACCTCTGCACCTCCAGCTACGTGAGCCGCTGGCCGGGGGGGGCCATGGGATGGGGGGTCTGGGTCAGGTTGGGGGTGCCAGGGTGGGATGTGGGAGGTGGGGGTGAGCGGAGTGTGGATGACAGCATGGAGGGGCACGGGGATGGCACTGGGGGGCAGAGGTGGCTCCGGTACAGGGGTGACTCCTGGCCATGCTCCCCCAGCGTGCCCTGGGCATCCAGCGGCAGGCGGTGGGCTCGGCAGAGGCGGAGGTGTTTGTGATCGAGCGAGCCATGCACACCAGCGCGGGCATCTCCACTGTCTGGCACAGCAGCTTCCTCCCCAGCGGGTACGGGCGGGCGTCCGGCCGGGGGCACCCCCAGCCCTGCCAGCCTGGCGGGGGACCAGGAGGGGGGTCACCGGCTCCTTCCCCCACAGGCGTTTGGCCCGGCGGGTGCAGGTCGGCTGCCCGATGCTGGTGCTTCTGCAGGATGAGTCTGTCCTTGGCGAGACAGGTACTGGGGGGGGGGGTGCCCCCCCGCACGGGCAGCCCCTGCCTGCTGTCGGGCAGCTGTGTGGGGAACGCCCTGCCCTGCCTTTCTGCTGCCAGGTGGGGTCGAGCCCCAGCCCCTCTTCCCCAAACAGCCCCTGGACTGGGAGGAGGACATCCAGCTCTGGTCCTGGTTCCTGGAAAGGAAGGTGAGATGCGGGAAAATGGGGACATGGGGCTGTGCCGCTCCCCAGCCCTGAGGTGCCCGGGGGCACAGTGGGGATCAGGCTGGCCAGCACTCCCCCAAGTGACTCGTGGGGACAAGGACCCAGGCATCCCACCCCGGCACGGTGGCAGGGAGGGGACATCAGTGCCCAGGGCAGGGGGACATCGGCCCCTGTGCCCACCCTGCCCACCCCACCGCAGGAGGAGCTGCAAGCATCCCACGCCGCCTACATCCAGCAGCACCCCGAGCTCCGGGCGCTGCTGGCCGACTTCCTCCAGGCCCTGCTCCTGCAGCAGCCCCACGACCCCATCTCCTTCGCCGCCCAATTCTTCACCCCCTTTGCCCACCAGCAGCCCCCCGGGACCCCCTTCACCTCTGCTGGGGCTGCCAGCCCCCTCCCCAGCCCCCTGCCTCACCACTCTCCAGCTAACGGGGAATAAAGCTGCCAGCGCTGCCTGTCCAGGCTCGTTTGCTTTGGGGAAACTGAGGCACAGGGAGGGCACCGGGCGCTGAGTTGCGTGCCAACCCCTCCTCCATGAGTCTGGGGAGGACCCAGGCGTCCTGCCCCCCTCCCAGCTGTTCTAGCCCCCACCTGGGGTCGGGGGTGCCTCGGACATACCCTGGGGCAGAGCCAGGCTGGCATCCCTGCACTGGGGCACCCCACATCTCCCTGGGGGCAGAGCCCCGATGCCCACCTCTCTATGGGGCACAGCCCCATGGCAAAGGGGTGCCCTGAAGGGGCAGCCGGTACCACCCAGGCACCCGTGGGTGCACCTGGGGTGCTCCTCCTCCCACCTCCACAGCCCCGAGGGTCCTGGGGATGGGATGCCCCACTTTCGTGGGAGCAGCCTGACCCACTATGACACTGAGCACCCCATCTTTGGGGTGAGGGTCCCCCCACCCAGAGCCTGCCGAGCTGGGTGCTCCACCCCAGCAGCTGAGGGTGCATTTTGACCTGCTCACGTGCTTGTGCAACGCACGGCTGCTTCCTCCTCGCTCCCACTCCGCCGGCCTTTCCCCTACTCCCGTGGGGCCAGCCCTTTTTCCACACGCTGTGGGACACTGTCCCCTGTCCCCCCACAACCACCCAAGGAGCAAGACCCTCGGCATGTGATGGAGGGTGACACGCAGGCACGCTCCCGCACCCCTGGGCACGCTGGTGTTTGCACGTGTGTGTGCACGGCAAAGGGGAGGGAGGCGCTGGGTCCCCCCCTCCCGTCACAGGGTGGGGACACTGAGACCGTGCACACTCATAGCACCCAGCCCCCACCAGGCAGGGCCCCTTTCCCAACCCAAATCAGCGGGTGGGGAAGGAGCACTTCCTCCTCCTCCTCCTCCTCCCCTCATGGGGGGGGGGGTGTCCTTTAAAAGCTGGGTGGCGGGCATTGCACCCAGTGTTGAGATCAGGGCTCCCCAACACCGTGTCCGGATCGTGCCCAGCCATGGCATCGCTGGAGCCAGGTGAGCCCCATGATACTTGGGTCCTCTCACGCCTCCTTTCCTCCCCTAAACCCCCTTCCCTCCACCCCAGGACCCTGGCTCTGCTCCCCACCCCCGGTGGGCCCCATCTCCCCCAGCCTGTCCTGGCTTCCCCATCTGGTCCGTCCTCTGTTTCCCCAAGCCCACCTGTGATTCACCCACGCTCCTGGTACGTGGGTGGGCTGGGGGGAGCATTGGGACCCGTACCAGCCTCTTGTCCACACTCTGTGCCCACCCAGCAGCAGGAGCAGGAGCAGGAGCAGGGTCCCCTCCCGCCCAGAAATGCACCTGGCTCTTGGACTGGTGAAGATTGGGCTGGGACCAGGGGTTTTTAGGGACACCTGAGCTGGAGGTGGCACCCGACCCCTTCAGCCAGCCACTGACAGCCCCTATATAGCCACCCTCATGGCCCCCCCAGAAAAAAGGGGCTCATCCCTCATGGGGCTCACTGGGCAGGGGCAGGTGGGACTGGGGAGAAGCTGGTACCAGGGCTGCCAGCCCACCAGTGTCCTTGTCCCCTGGCGGGCTGCTACCTCCCCTTCTTCTCTTCCTACCCCCCCCAGGCCTCACCGGGTCCCTGAACCGGGGCCAAGCCCAGACTTATGGCACTGGCGAGAGCCCCGTGCCCCCACAGCGCCCTGGCACCCAGGATCAGACCTACCTGGACGAACTCATCAGCATCCCCAAGGGCGATGGGGTAGGTGCTGCCAGGCTGGCACCTCCGTCTGAGGGTGGGCAGAGACAGGGTGGGGGGCCGGTACCTCAGGGAGCTTGAGGTGGGGGGGCAAAGGGCCACCGCAGCGGGGGAGACATGCCTGGGACATGCCCCGAGGACCTCAGCGTCCTCAGACCCGGCTCAGGCAAATCACAGCCCCAGGCTGAGCGTTTCCACGCTTAAATGTTTCCAGATGGGGAAACTGAGGCACAGGGCGAGGCGCTACCCAGCCGCAGGGATCACACCGCTGCTCAAACACCTCCTGGGTTTCCCGTCCTGGGCTGCCCGTGCCCATCCCAGCGGGGCTCCCCAGGCTGCCTGAGCCCTGCCAGCCCCTCCCATCCCTGGCCGGTCCCGGGGGGCAAAAGGGAGAAGGGGAAGGGATGGGGGTTCCCCTGCCAGGAGGGGTGGTAAAAGCGGGGCTCGGCAGTGGGATCCCATGGGGTGCAATTCATGGTGCCTGACAGACCCAGGACCCCCCTGCAAATCTCTGTCCAACCTGTCCCCATGTGGAATGGGGGGTCTCGCTGCCCCCCCAGCACTGCTGCTAATGGAGAGGGGCTGAGGGGCAGCGGTTCCGTCCCGAAAACAAGGGGAAATGTCCTCCGTGTGTGAAACGTGCCCATGCGGGCAGCACAGGGCTTCCCCGCAATGGGCTAAAGGGGACCGGGAGTGCGACTGGGAGGCACGGGTTTTGAATGGGAGCTCCTTGCTCTGACCTGCTGCCTCGTCCCAGCCCGGTTTCAGCTTTAGGAAACTCTGGGCTTTCACCGGTCCCGGCTTCCTCATGAGCATCGCCTACCTGGACCCGGGCAATGTGGAGTCGGACCTGCAGTGCGGGGCGGTGGCGGGGTTCAAGGTGAGCCCCGGGCCCCCCAAGGCCCCGGGGTCAGGAAGCAGCGGGGGGTTTCGTAACCTCTCCTGCGCCAACGGCCGCCCAGCCCCATGGCACACCGGCTTCCCCAGCCCGGGCAGCGGGAAGGCAACGGGGGGGGGCCCTTGGCTCTGGGGGAGGGCACCCAGGGGTGCGGGAGGGCCACCCCTCTGCCTGGGCTGGGGACCGCATCCAGCCCGTCCGGGCTTCTCCTCCCCGTGTCCCCGGGCTGGTTGATAACCTTGCTGGGAGCCCCGGGCGGACGGATCCTGCCCGGTGCCCGGCTCCTGCTGCCTCCCTCCCTCCTGCCCCCCCCAGCTGCTGTGGGTGCTGCTGTGGGCCACCGTCCTGGGGCTGCTGTGCCAGCGCCTGGCCATCCGGCTGGGCGTGGTGACGGGGAAGGACCTGGCCGAGATTTGCTACCTCTATTACCCCAAGGTGAGCAGTCACGGGGAGTCCCCCCCCGGGGTCACAGCCTGGGGGGACCCCACTCTTGGGCTGAAGGCAGTCCTGGCAGGGGCTGGCGGGGCAGGACTGTCGTGGGGTGGAGAGGAGCGGGAAGATGCTGTGAGAGCCTCACCTCTCCCAGGGGCTCCCCAAAGCCTCCCCAGCCCCAATGCCCCCATCTAGCACCCACACACCCCTGTGATACAGGGGCCCGGGGCAGGTGGAGAGGGAAGCAGCTGCCTCCGTGTCCTGGTCCGATTTGGGGTCACGTGAGCGCGTCCCTCGGGGCGGGGGTGAGCCCAGGCGTCGGGGCAGCGACGCGCGGCCGAGACGCGGGGCGAGCCTGGGCGCGTTGGTGCGGGGAGCTGGAGGGGCTTGGGGGGGGTCACACGGCAAAGGAGGGGGGGAGCTAGGGGTCCCGTCTAGGCAGCAGGACCCTGATGGGGGCAAAGGAGCAAAGAGATGTTGGTTGAACACAGGTCCCCAAAAGGAGGGCTGGATACGTCCCTCTGCCCTGGCACCCCCCGGGAGCATCATATCCAGACAGCTGGGTCCTGTCCTCAGCTCCCACCGGGGCAGGGACGAGGAGGGGGTGCACAGTGGGATTTAGGATCCATCTTGCATCCCGAGATTGTGTCGTGGGAGAGGCTGGGAATTTCTCCTGGGATCCCCACGCTGCTCTGGGTGGCCTGCCACAGCCTGGGGACAGGGACAGGGGCTTCACCCTGGAGGCTGTGCCCACTCACCCCAGGGCCAAGCCCCACTGCGGGCTCGGGCACCTCACCGTGCCCCGGCCCCTCCAGGTGCCCCGCGTGCTGCTCTGGCTCATGATTGAGATCGCCATCATCGGCTCCGACATGCAGGAGGTGATCGGGACAGCCATTGCCTTCAGCCTGCTCTCAGCCGGCCGGTGAGCCACCCCCCAGGGATCCCCCCAGCTACCCCAATGGCTCTGCTCTGCCAAGGGGCATGTGGCTAACGCCATCCCTTGCCATCCCACAGCATCCCCCTCTGGGGTGGGGTCCTCATCACCATCGTGGACACCCTCTTCTTCCTCTTCCTTGACAAGTACGGTGAGTGCTGAGGTCAGGGGACAGTGGGGACGCTTGCTCGGGCAGCCCTGGTGCCAATGTGGCATCGGTGTCCCCCACCCTGTCCCACTCCATCTCTCGACCTGTCTAGGGCTCCGCAAACTGGAGGCTTTCTTCGGCCTCCTCATCACCATCATGGCTCTGACCTTCGGCTACGAGGTGAAGGGGGGAGCTGGGGTCACTCTGTGGTGGGGGGGTCCCAGCTCACAGTGCCCCTTCCCACCGGTCCCCAGTACGTGGTGGTGAGGCCAGGGCAGGTGGAGGTGCTGAAGGGCATTTTCCTGCCCTACTGCCCGGGCTGCGGGCGAGAAGAGCTGCTCCAGGCTGTGGGCATCGTCGGTGCCATCATTATGCCCCATAACATCTTCCTCCACTCCTCCTTGGTCAAGGTGAGAACAAGGCACTGCCGTGGGCACTGCCACCCCGGGGTGTCTCAGGGGACACGTGGTGGGGATCAGCCCTGGGGGGCTGCGGGACAGGGGTGCTCACCTGGCCCCCTGGCACCTATGTCACCTGCCGTGCCCAGACGCGGGCTATCGACCGGTCCAAGAAGGAGGCAGTGCAGGAAGCCAACATGTATTTCCTGACCGAGTCCTGCGTGGCCCTCTTCGTCTCCTTCCTCATCAACCTCTTTGTCATGGCTGTCTTCGGTGAGGCTTTCTACCACCAGCGAAACGAGGATGTGGTGAGTGTCACCCTGTGCCTGCGGGGAGGTGATGGCTGTGCCCGGCTGCAGAGGCGGGCAGGGCGAGCATCCTTTGGAGAGTAGGTATCCTCATCCCCTGGGATGTGGGGGGGTCACCTCCGTCTCCGTGGGGGCTGCCAGGTGGCCGTCACTCTCGTGCCCACCGTGCCTTGCAGCACAACAAGTGCATCAACAGCAGCATCAGCCACTACGCCAGCATCTTCCCTGTCAACAACGAGACAGTCTCTGTGGACATCTACCAGGGGGTGAGTGGTGCCAGGCTGTGCCCAGCAGGCACATTGTCCCCCATTTTGGGGACATAGTGCTCCCCCCCATTGACCCCTGGGTCTGGGGGGTGCTGTGACCCCACCAGGAGGCCAGGAGCCGATGGGGGTGCCCGGGGTGGGGGACGCTTTGGGGTCCCCATAGGAGTGCCTCCGCACAGGGCGTCATCTTGGGCTGCTATTTTGGGGCGGTGGCACTGTACATCTGGGCCATCGGGATCCTGGCAGCAGGACAGAGCTCCACGATGACCGGGACCTACGCGGGGCAGTTTGTCATGGAGGTGAGGGACAGGGATGCTGGCCCTCGCCCCCACAGGGAGCAGCTGGGAGGGAGGGGAATCACGGGTGGGCCCTGGGTGGGGGGTCCTATGGGCAACGCCCCCCCCCTGGGTATTTGGCAGAATTAATTGCCCCCCATTCCTGCAGGGAGCTGGGCACGGGGCATTGCCCACCCGGTGGGTGGCAGCTTGCTGGCACCAGGGTCCCCTGTCCCCAGGAGGTGGGATGGGGACAGTGCCCACCCATTGCACGGCCACCCCCGCCCCCTGTGACACCCCCTCCCAGAGGCACCCCGTTAGTGCCCCATGCGGTATTTCCCTAATGAGCTCATTTGCTTAATGAGCTGGCGCTGACATCTAGCGGGGCCCAGCAGCCCTGCAAGGGCCCGCTCAGCACCCTGGCACAGAGGAGGGAGCGATGCCCCCCATGTCCCGCCAAGCCAGGGTCTGGGGGCCACACCGGCGCGGTACCCCAGGCACAGCACGGGGCGAGGGTGCAGGTTTCGCTGTGTCCCAGGGCTTCCTGCAGCTCCGCTGGTCCCGCTTTGCCCGGGTGCTCTTCACCCGCTCCTTCGCCATCCTGCCCACCATCTTTGTGGCCGCCTTCAAGGACGTCAGCCACCTCACGGGCATGAACGACCTACTCAATGTCCTGCAGAGCATCCTGGTAAGGTGGGGGGCACCGCCTGCCCTCCGACACCCCAGCCCAGTGGCCGTGCCCGCCTCACACCTCTCTCCTTCCAGCTGCCCTTTGCCGTCCTGCCCGTCCTCACCTTCACCAGCCTGCGCCCGCTCATGCAGGACTTCACCAACGGCCTGTGAGTGCCAGGGCCGGGGGAGGCACGGGGGGGGAGAGCGGGGCACCCCGCCTGCAGGCACCCTCCCTTTGGCCCCCCCTGCCCCCCCAAACCACGGCGCAGGGGCAGCTGGTGTATGGGCATCGGGGGGAGCGTGTTCGTTCCCACGTGCCCAGGGAAGCCAGAGTGGGACGGACCCTGTCACTGCCCTCTCCATCCTCATCCCAAGGCCACATCTGCCCCTCCGGGTCCTCAGCATCCTCCTGGCACTGCCAGCCCTGCATTCGGAGGGTGGCCAAAGCCATGCCCAGAGCCCCATCATGGGGGCGCAGCATGGCTGCAGGGTGCAGAGGTCCCGGTTGGGGTCTCACTCACCGGCAAACCCAGATCCCCCAGACCTCTGTGCCCGGTGGCACGCGGGGCAGGGGCTCTGCCCTGGCGCTGATGCCTGCTCCCCTGCCCGCAGCCCAGGGAAGGTGCTGATGATCCTCATCACCGGGCTGGTCTGTGCCATCAACGTCTACTTCGTGGTGGACTTTCTACCCACGCTGCGGGGCCTGGGCTACCACATCCCCCTGGGCCTGCTGCTGGCCGCCTACGTGGCCTTCGTCGCCTACCTGGTAGGGCTGGCACCGCGGGAAGGGGTGGCCTGGTGGGGGATGGCGTCCCCAGTGGGTGCCCACCAACCCGCCCTCTTTGCCCCCACAGATCTGGACGTGCAGCATCGCGCACGGAGCCCGGTTCCTGGCCCGGGGCCGCCACAGCCGGTTCAGCTTCGGTGTCTCCCTCGACCCGCCGACCCTGGCAGGGACCCGGTGACAAACCCCGTCCCTCGTTATGGTCCCCCCGTCCCTGCCCAGCACGGGCCCCTGCACTGGGTACCGGTTTGATGCCACACCGAGCGCGGGGATGATGTTCTGCCCAGAGATGCACCCAGCAAGGAAGGGGTTAACAGACGGGCGGACCTTCCCCCCAAATTTTAAGCGCCCCCCCCCCCAATTCAGGGGTGGTGGTCCAGGCTGGATGCGGGGGAGGGGGGCAGCGGGAGGGGCTCCCAGCCCTCGGCCGAGAGGGCCCGGGGGCA